AGAAAACAATATTAGAAATCTTCGACCATTCGGGAATTACTTTGCTTGAAAATTGATGCGCCTGTCTTTGACCATCTTTACGCAGTGATCTCCCCTGAATTTTTCGGCTTTAGTGTACATACAAAAGGGAAGTAACCGCTTCAAAAAAGTGGACTACTTTCGGCATTTGCAATTAAGAACATTAGACTCTGAAATTTCGCTACCATTATTTGTTTGGTCTGACGACCCAAACAAATAAAAACTGTGCCTACAACGCCTACAGAGCTTGAGGTACCTGAAGCTGAAAATGCGCCAGCCGAAGATTTTTTCCTACTCTCATTTAACAAATTGTCCATGCTTGTGTACCTTCTCTAAAGTAGCACTTCTATGGCATGTTTAACGTTGCAATATTCAATAAATAAATTTTTTGTTCTATATCCAATATTTATATTGCATAACTCAAATTTTATATTGTATACCATAATATTTATTCAATCCAGCTGAATATTTGTTCATCATAAAAAACATTTGTGTGCGATAATTTTCTATTTATATGTTCTATATTTGAAAATATATATTGTATAATAAAAAATATTTATTGTATAGATCTACTGAAATCTACTTATTCGATAATTTGAATTATGGGATAGAACACTTAGCATACTAAGCCCCGCCTATAAAGTAAGCACGAATGACTGATAAAGCGTTATCATCCTGATTAAACTGTGGAAATGATCAGCGTCCCTGTCACTTAATTGTAAATACATGTAGTGCATATGCTTAATCCTCCTTAAAAATGTATATGTATATGTAATATTGGAAACAGATTTTAAAGTCTTTAGCACATGCAATCGTATAAATCGAGGATATTGAATGAGTGTAGGTTTAGTACTAAATTTATTGAACTCGTTGAATAAAACAATTTATTACTCGCTTTTCGGTGGTTTATAGAAATATATCAGTGAATGTTTTAAATATTTGATAAGCAGAGTATGAATTAAAAAGTATCAAGTTGAAAACATTACTTAAATACCAGCTTAAATATATTGGTGTGAATCTGGGACTATTTTCTGAGAGTGCATTTTTTGCCGACACAAATTAATGGTATACATGCAGTCATGTACATTCAAAATAATTCTTATTTTTTATGCCTTTACATTTATTTTGAAATAACATAGATTTATATTGTTGTTTTTCTTTGTCTAAGTAATGATTAAATCAAAATGATTTTTAATAAACCAGTATCTTGCAATTAAATATTATTATACGCAGCCGTTTTTCGAAACTACAGAATCCTTACATTTTTTGAAACTCAAAATATCTTTTGGGTATTGTATATTAGCAGACACATAGATGCATAATCTATATCTCTGGTATTAGCAAGTTAGTACGATTTAACTGACTGGTAAAATTTTCATTATAAAGAATCTAACGAAAATGGTAATCATGATCAGTTACCCAGCAATATGGTCTACTATTAAAACAAATCGTTAGCCTTATTATAGTAAACATTTTTATTCATTTCACCATCCTTTTTATGTAATATCTTATTCAATTACACAAAATTTTGGCAATTTCAATCTGCCAATCTTACAAGAGAAAGGATTAAGATCTTTATATCCCTCTATTATTGTACTTAATCGTATCGGCATTGTCCACCGTATCCCCCAATGACGTCTTCCAAGGGCGACAACTTGAATATTAAATGAAAGGGTCTATATAAATTTTGGAAAAAACATCAATTTTACGAGCCTACCGTTCGAAAACCATTTGACCAATTCCAATGAAAATTCGATTTTGTACAACTTGAGAGGGTCTTCTTTGAACGTTGTAAGGCCTAAAGCCCTAACCCAAGTAATATGTACAGGAGATTTCCGCGTGGCTTGGTCATTTTTTGCACAGGCGAGTTGTTCTTTCTCTATTTAAATTTCGAAAGAAAAAAATATCAATTTTACCAGCCTACCGTTCAAAAACCGTTTGACCAATTCCAATGCAAATTTGATTTTGTACAACTTGAGATGGTCTTCTTTGCACATGAAAAGGCTTAAAGCCCTAACCCAAAGAACATTTCCAGGAGATTTCCGCATGGGTTGGTCATTTTTTGCACAGGCGAGTTGTTTTTTCCACTTGATAAAAATAAATCGTGTATTTACAGAAAAAACTTGAATATCCCCTATATATTTTTAACAGCTTTTGTATATTTGTCCTGCAGTTTATCTAGTATGTAAGAATGTATTTTTTATGTGTTTAGGTTTTAGGACCACAATGGAGCTCCTTTAATTAAATACCTTAACAAACTTATATATTATAAACCGTTTTTAACTTTAAGGTCCCAGCTTCTTTCAATATTTCATTTTGGTACCACTTCCAATTCGAATGACGAATAAAAACTGTTTCGCGCATGTCACGTGATGGTGTGCCAACCACGTTAACTTTTTGGTCCTTCCGAATTATCCAGGCGGGGAACAATAGTTTCATATAAATACATAGCAAATTAAATCGTGTGACTGAAAAGAGATCGGAAAATGTTTTGCTGGCGTCTTTAACGGATTTGTTTAGTAAAGTTTTTTGGTGAGAATCAATCAGTGGTTAAACATACAAGATTGTCCCCGAGCGCTCAAGATTCATGGTCGAGTGATTTTCCATGCACTTTACTGTTAGCTACATTTGCGTGAAGTTTGTGAGAGGGACGTGACGGAAACAAAAGTATGGCAGGTTTGGAATTGTTTCTTTTATTTTAGGACGTCGAAGAACTTAGTATCAATCAAAAATGTAAGTTATTTTATATTTTATAATAAAAACTATATAGCCGAAACGTAATATTATTACACATGAAAATCGGGAAAGCGTTACTGTTTTTTAAGGAAAAAAATGTAAATATTTCACAGAAAATCCGGGAAATGTTATTGTATCACATAAAATTTTGTAAATTATCAAATATTTTTCGTAGGTACAATTTGTTTGACACAAAGTTAAATTTTCCATGAATAAGGACTTTAATTATAAATTAGCATTAATCATAAGGATTATACATGTTAAACTTTTAATTTTTCATGTGACGTTTCGATCATATAGTTAACGGTATTTTTGACCATTATGGTAATTGGCTAATGATATTAAACAAAATACAGATATGAATAATTGATAGTTGGCATATGAGGTCTAACAAAGTATTGACACGGATGATTGACGTGTGATATGTAAAAATGATGGCGATGTTGATGACAATGTTGTTTTGATGAGGACGTCCATGGGTGTTACAATGATGATGAAATGACGTTCATCAGGTAAATTTAGTTATTTATAGAAACGAGCTTTTTTTTTAGAAACTAGTTATTTTTAGACAAATGAGTTTTAACTTTTCTTCGTAAGTTTTATCAGTTTCAGAAGATGAAATTTCAAAAGGAACCAATGAACTTGCAAGTAATCATACTATATCGGGCCATGCTTGTGGAACAAGGACAGTCCACATTATGCAACGTTAAAACAGCATACTTATTTAATTCAATTTACATTTGGAAAATTTGACATTATAAGAAATTTGATATACATATAATACATGTAAATGGTATTATGTCAGTAACTGAAACTGCGTAGAATTACAAAATTTTATTTTAGAAATGAAGATTCTTTGTCAAAATTGAAAACTATGTTTTATGTTTATGTATATTGACGATATTTTGTGTGCATTGTTTATATCGATTTTGGTTGTTTTGGTTTCTTTCTCAATTTTTGGAGTTGGTGTGTGATTGGGGTTATTCGATTTTGGTTCGGTGTTTTAGTTTGTCTCTTTGTTGGAGTTGTTTATGTGTGTTATGGTAGTTTTTCTTTGTCTTTGTTGGAGTTGTTAATGTCATTTGTGTGTTATGGTTGTTTTTCTTTGTCGAAAATTCTGGCCTTATTTCTGAATAGTTTGGGAATTGGTGGTCGATAAGACAGTTGATTCTTTGCTGATACATTGTGATCGATTAAAAAATTTTGGATTTTGGATTTTGTTAAACATGTACATGTACTAGTCGAATTATTATTATTCATCATTTCAAATAGTTATATCAATTTCATAAAAATGGGAGACACATTTATAGTTATATTGAATTTTTAGCTGTACAATACCCAATTTTGTATAATTATATTGATGTTTAATATTAATGTGATATTTTTGATAATATATTAAAGATAACATTGATTCTTTTAGATTTAAAACGTGACATTTCTAATAATGATATTCGGGTGTTGAATGCGACATTTTTAACAATTATATATACTGATTATTTTAGATGCAGAATGCGACATTTTAGACTAGTATAATATTATTGTTCTTTGGTTTTTCGTTTGTTTTCAGATGTCGTAAGAAAATATCACTGGATTACTTTTTGAAAGACAAAACTAGATAAAATTGTATATTTCTAAATATTACCACTATATAATTCAGACTATTGAAGAAAAAATGTTTATTGATCATTTAGCAGACGTAAAGCAGGAAATGGCGGGAAGAATCCTAGCACGACAGTTGTCGCGCAGTTGCAATCATGCACCATATCAGACTGCCCGAAATTACAGGCTGGCCCAGCTCTATACTGGACTCGCTTTCAGCAGGTTAGGGTTTGAAAAAGGAAATCATAACTTTGTAATGTATGTCTTGTCTACTTTTTGAAAAATAAACTTTCGTGTCAATGTAATAATTATGTTGACATATCATTATTGTCTAATGTTTCATAATGAACCATTTTTAGCCCAACTGTTTGAAAAACGAGTAAGGGCTATTTTAGTCACTTGGTCGTCTGTTCTCGTAAAACACTTCGTTTTGCATATGTTTTGTGTGTAACTTCCTACCTCAGAATTCATTATGATCGTGTAACGGGGAACATAATCTAAACACCTTTAACTTTAAACTAGATTTAGATTTATATAATTACATGTATGCTACTTAGTCAACTTGATTTAAAGCAGTCATGTTTAAAATAATAATTTAAGTTTACAATATATTCTTATCAAATGAGCATAATAATGCTGAGTTATGGGTCATTAATAACATTTCAGTAATTTAAACAAATAACTTACAATTATTTTTAAAATTCTAAAAAAAATGTAACATTTGTTCGACCATGTTATCAATAGTGTATCCACAGGTAGCAGACGACAATAAAAAGTGGAAATTTGCGACTTCCGGTGTGTCTGCTACTCGATGTTGTGATCTCAGTTACTTCCCCTGACGTTCAGTATATGAAATGAGGGTCGAGGTAAGTAAAGATATTTTGAAGAAATACAAAATTTAGCTAAACATAGAACAATACATTTTACAGATAAGGCTTTGTGAGTCGCTGATTACACCTTTAACTCCGCAAAATATTTTAAATGGACTTGCCCATCTTCAAATCTGGACAAAACCATTACTCATTTTAAGGGAAAATTTCAAAATATGTCATGTATGTAGTGACTTAATATCGAATAGTGCAGATCATGAGCAGATGTCAAGGATATGCCGACTGGTTTTGGTCGGCACTGGTCGCACGGGTACATGTATATGATGCTGGCACTAGAAGGCTGAGAGTAAATCAAAATATTGTACCACACAAAATATTCAGAAAGTACTAATTACAGTTCATTAATAATTACAACTTTTAATTTAGTACAATGTTTGTATTTTAAAAGCATGTTAATATCAGATGGACCATGACTTTTTGTAATTATTGTTGCTTTTCTAGAAAAAAATGAACTGAACATAATATAAAGACACTCGCTTCCTTAAAGTATTACAATCTAAATACAAAAAAATATACATTCAATAACTAAATTCACGAATAGGTAAAAGATATCGGCACTACATTAGTGATCGTGCCGAAGGAAGGGAGATAATTATGAATGTATTACAAATAAGGGAGAAAAAATATCTCTTATTATAATTATACTATAAAATATCATAATTATTTCTAATGCATAATGTGTATTTTGTAATGATCTGGTGACTTTGATTGTGACACTCCGATAACATCTTAATTTTCAATCTATAAATAGATAAAAAAATTTAACCTATATTTCAGTTTCAGGATTTGAAATTAAGAAAGGACGAAAGATATAAAATGAGCATCGGCAACATGATCTTGGCATGTTACATCCTTATCACAGAAGTGGAACCTACTGATTATGATGAGGTAATAGTATATTTTATGAATATACGTACGAGTATAGATTTGTTTCTTAGCCTGCTAAAAGCGAAAGTCATTAGTCTTTGCCTCCAGAATGGAGCCCGCCAGCCTGCACATGTGTGCAGTTTGACCAGACTCTTTACTGTTTGCTAACTTCCGATTTTCATTTTCATGTGATTATTAGTTATAATAATTTATAATGGACTGTTCCTTAAATAAAATGTTGAAAAGTCCATTTAATAATTTCCGCAGGTTAAAGCAGCATCCATCTTGATTCATACTCATGTAAATTTTGAAAAAAAGAAAAATATAGTGTAGTGAACAAGGAAAGTAATTTACACATTACAAACAGCATTTACAGTCTACTTACATTACCAAAAAAAGGCCAAAATATACACTAATAGCCATTGCGTTAGTCACGCAGTAGAAATATGGTAATAAGGACTGCGACTTCGGTCGTTAAAGACATCTAGCACATAAATAATTACTTGAATCTTAAATCTTTTTACATTTCTTAAAATCTGAGTACATTTTTCTTAAGTTTGTTTTTCTTGAAATATTTTTGATTCATCTGGAGGCGTGCAGCTTTAAGGCTTGTTTATAGCTCTTGAATGAGACGTGTATTCATTTGGTTCTGAAACAGTACGGCATTGTGAAAATTGTTTCATGTTCGGGTTTGATAAAAAAAATTGCCTTTGCTTAACACAGAAGCAGTAACCGTTGTTGTTGTTGTTATTCAGTCATGAATTGCTTTAGCTAAGTAAATACATATACACCTACACTGGTATATCATTATTCAAATTTGATAAAACTTTTGTAAGTTTTAGTTAAAGGGCGTCCGTTACCGAGTGGTTGAATGAATTCATTGACTTCAAATAATTCCCCCCCCCCTCCTTTCTTTCACTATTATGGGCAGCGACTTTGAATTCATGAATAGTTTCATGTGCAGAGGTGATCCACAGCTAGCCTAATTGGCAGAGAAAATTGGTGGTTCTACTCGAGTGCCCCACCGTGTCTAAAATAATTTATAGAGGGCTATTTTGGACTTTCTTCCGCCAGTAAAGCTGAAAAATTATTATTGTACCGTCGAGACAGTAACCATTCACATACTAAATTAGTGCAATGGAACTGCCCTGCATTGAATTTAAAACAGTTCATTTGAAGTTTATGGGATTTCAATAACAAAATACAAATTTGAGCAGACGATAATATATAGCCTGGGCACGTGGTGCACGGACCAATAGGTAAAGGGTTAAACCCAACCGAATAATTGAACCATTGCAGTTAAGAATATACTAGAAATAATAAGAGAATCGTTTAATGACATCACGTGAATAAAAGCTTTATGACCACTATTTGAGTAAGACGTAATTATTTGTTTGTTGTATTCCTGAATTCTATTATGTGCATTTTTGAATAAAAGTAATGATAACATTGTTTTTTTTTTAATTTGGTGGTTCAACCCGTGCGTCTGCTGTCTTTTGCAAGTGAAACGCAAAGTGTTACAAGTGATATGAATATTTTATAAATTATACAAGTTAAATCTTGATGCTGCACATCAAAGACGCCGCCAATTGATGTGAACAGTCAATCAGCATTGAAAATCGTTCTCTATTACAGTTGAATATCCGAAGCACAAATCATTTTTTTTCTCCATGTTCTTGGTATGTGCTCGTTGTTTAATAATTAAGTTGCATATTTTTGTGAAAAAGTAGACCCTAATGCATAAATTCACAAGGTAATGCTATGTCTGAAATTCTGAAATGTTTGTCTGTTGCGACAAAGATTGAAAAGTCTGGTCAAAGCAAAATAAATCTTTGTTCATTTTTTTTCTGAAGAGTTATTTCTTAAACGGTTTGTTTGCTGGTATTAAGGTGTGCAGCTTTAAACGCCCATTATGCCCCAAAACATGTTTTTATTTTTATATCTGAAAAGCTTTTTATTTTTGGTACCCATTATAGTTTCAAAAGATCATTTATCTGAATAATCTTTTGCTTTATGAAAACAGTTTTAGTGATCTAGTATTTTGTGTGGAAGTTAAAATACTACTGTGTTTACATTTTGCGACCTTTAAAACAAATATTTTCACATTCAGCCATACTTCATTTTGCTAATAAGCATCTAACATGCTTAAAAGCATTATTTGAACGTTATAATACTCATGTTTGCACTGCCTTTGGTAGGAAAAAATTATTAATTTCTGAGGCATAATGTGCCTTTAAGGAAAAACAGTTGAGTATAAGTTGAATATAATTTTTACAATGCAGGTGTATCGGGGATCAATACGGAACATGGTAAATTGAGCAGGTGAAGGAATGAAGAAAACACAACCCTCTTTACAGTCAGCAAAATAACTATACTTCCGGTTTGGAACTACTGCATGCCGTTACAACATATGTGACAAAGAGATTTTAATCCACCTGATACGATTTGGTATCTTTCTGAAAATATCATGTTCAAATTCTGAATGGTGTTTTTTTCTGCCAAGTTTAAGAAATATATTACCATGTAACTGTATAATATTTATGGCAATTATGAAGTAATAGTGAGTTTTTGGCGTAGTAATAAAAACCATGAAAGGTGTTACCTCGATTGGATTTTCTACATGAGCTTGAAAAATAACACCTTCATAAATGCCTTGATGTGAACATAATGGCAGGGATATTTTATTTGCTTTTTACATTGTACATCTTCTATTTAACATACTGTACCGTCTATGAATTGAAATTGCAATAATGAGTATAATTGCAATAATGAATAATGCACTTTTTTGCAAAGTATATTTCAAGTGGTGTAATAAGTAAAATTTGATCAGGAATGCACATTTATTAAGACTTAATATATATGCAAACATACTGTACCGTTAACATAATAGCAATAGTAAAATTGCAGAAATGAATGATGCGCATTTTTTACAATGTATATTTCAAAAAGTGTAATAAGTAACATTTAATAGTTAATAAAGACATACTAGGCCGTACAATGAGAAATAATGATAATTTAACAACGTCATGATAGAAACATCCTTTTTGAAATTTCTTAACATTTAGATAATAATAACACCACCAAGAATATCACCACTACCACCAAAAAACAACATTAATGATAATACGTCCGTTCAGATTGACCAGACTCTTAACCGTTGGCTGACCAATTTCAAATTTGATTTTATTCAAGTTATATTCTCTAAATTGAGAATGAACGTATTCAGAAACGGAAGCTGGACAAGTCAGCTTCCGATAATATTATCAACCGTATACATGATATAATGTGTTCCTTTATATTTTGAAGTATCATTTGTTTCATTTTTTACCTTTTAAATGCTTTAAATAAGGAGTCACAAAGGGTTACTTTATCATTTTCATTTCCAAGCATATCCTCGTGCGTTTCATCGCCGGATATCCACTGATAAACACTGTCTTACCATTAACATTTATCTTGCTAACATGTTAATCAACCGTGAGTATCCGACGATGCATGCGTTTATGCTTGTTTTTATTTATTTATTTTTTTTTAAATATTTTTTTATTGTTGTTTTCAGTTTTTATATGATCTGACAAAAAGTTAAAAAAGGGGGTGGGGGCTAGCATCATTTTAGCTTTTTTTGTTCACCTTTGATACGTTATTCTATCAATTTTTTAACTTTACTTGCCTGTTTTAATTTTCTAAAGTTTTTTTTTAAATTAATTAATTTAAATAATTATTTATTTTTTATCTATTTACTTATCTTTATTTATCTATTTATTTATTTATTTATTGTTTTGCAAATTACATCAAGCGAAAAGGGAGGCTACTTGTTTTAAAATACAGATTGATCTCCCCTGAAAATTCAAATGATAAGAACGGACCAAAGGAGACTTCTCTTCATTAAAACAAGTATAAAATGATAAAAAAAGTCGTTTTCCCGTCAGTTTACACTCCATTACCACTTGTTATTTTTTTCTAACTGATAACTCTCACACATCTTCGGTACTAACATTAACTTTTGGGGAAAATGACTTTCTGTACTACTGTAAAACTTCCAACAAATATCAATCAAAAGTAATAACATTTGGTTGTGAAAATTTAGCCGCAAAAGGCATAATGTTTAATTATCAATAGGGAGAGAAGTCGCCTGGTCCAATTTTCAGGGGTGATTACACCGTTATTTAATTAAGAGTGGTCTCCCTTTGGTCATACTTGCTTTTACAAATTCTTCTGCAATATTAAATTTAACATCAAAAACAATTTAAAGGAACACACTATAGTCAAAATTGGATACTTTCTATTTTTAAAAGTATACAGAACTTGAAATATTCAACCAATTTTAGGGTAGATTTAATGATTTATGCTTTTCACTTAGTACATATAAAAATATGAAAATACTATAGGCCTAGTATCTTTACTTATAAAATCACGATTTTTTAAGTATTATTTAAAATAGTTGGCTATAATTTGTGTCACGGGTAAACCATTAAAATTTTGTATACTAGTTTATATATATCTGGAATAATTTAAAGAACAACATTTGACATTTTAAATCTGTCTTGTATCTTGGAAACTTCTTTGCGTTTGTAAATATTTCTTTAAACAGATTTTAAAAATCGATTTCAGTTCTGGAATATTTAAAATATCTCAACATTCTTAAAATTCTAAATAATTCTAACGATGTCCTTTCATAGTTTGAAACATTAATATATTTGTTAATATTTGGGGAAAAAATTGAAATTAATTTGTGTCGTGGGAACTGCTTTACTATCTAAACGTCCATAAATGAAAAAAAGCTTAGTTTTAATGAAGACCAATACTTGAAATAATTTAACTTGTGTCTGGAAAATCACTTGAAATATCTTAACTTAGTTTGAGCCTGGAACAAAACTTAAAATATCTTAACATAAGTTGAGTTATGAAGAATAATTGAAATATCTAAACTTAATTGTGTCTTGAACAATAATTAAAATATCCTAACAAAGTTTGAGTTTTGGACAATACTTGAAATATCTTAACTTAGTTTGAGTCTGGAACAATAATTGAAATATCTGAAATAAAGCTTAATTAAGTCTGAAAAAAATACTTGAACTATCTTATCTAAGTTTAAGTCTTGAACAATACTTTAAATATCTTAACTTAGTTTGAGTCTGGAACAATACTTGAACTATCTTCACTTAGTTTGAGTCTGGAACAATACTTGAAATATCTTGACTTTGTTTGAGTCTGAATCAATATTTGAAATATTTTCACTTAGCTTGTGTCTGGAACAACACTTGATTTATCTTAACTTAGTTTGAGTCTTGAACAATACTTGAAATATCTTAACTAAGTTTGAGTCTTGAAAAATACTTGAAACGTCTTAACTGAGCTTGTGTCTGGGACAACACTTGAAATTTTTTAACTTAGCTTGTGTCTGGAACAATATTTGAAACATCTTAACTGAGTTTTAGTTTGGAACAATACTTGAAATATCTTAACTGAGTTTGAGTCTGGGACAAAACTTGAAATATCTTAACTAAGCTTGAGTCTGGAACAATACTTGAAATATTTTAACTGAGTTTGAGTCTGGAACAACAATTGAAATTACTTAACTTAGCTTGTGTCTGGAACAACACTTGAAATATCTTTACTTAATTTGAATCTTAACTAAGTTTAAGTCTGGAATAGTAATTGAAAAATCTAAACTTAGTTTGAGCCTGGAACAACACTTTAAATATCTTAACTAAGTTTGAGTCTTGAAGAATACTTGAAACATCTTAACTGAGTTTGAGTCTGGGACAAAACTTGAAATATCTTAACTAAGCTTGAGTCTTGAAGAATACTTGAAATATGTTAATTGAGTTTGAGTCTGGAACAACTTTAGAAATATCTAAGTCTGAGTCTTGAAGAATGCTTGAAACATGTTAACTCAGTTTGAGTCTTGAAGAATACTTGAAATATCATGACTTTACTAAGTTTGAGTTTGGAACAATAATTTAAATATCTTAGTTTGAGTCCGGAACCATACTTGGAAAATCTTAACTTAGTTTGAGTCTTGAAGAATACTTGAAACATTTAAACATAGTTTGAGTCTAGAAGAATACTTGGAATATCTTAACTTAGTTTGAGTCTGGAAAAAAAATCAAAAACTTAGTTTAAGTCTGGGACAATACTTAAAACAGCTTTACTTAGTTTGCGTCTGGAACAATACTTGAACTATCTTACCCCAGTTTGAGTCTGGAACAACACTTGAAATATCTTAACTAAGTTTGAGTCAGGAAAAAAACACTTGAAGTATTTTAACTTAGTTTGAGTCTGGAACCACACTTGAAATATCTTAACTTGGTTTAAGTCTTAAATAATACTTGAAACATCTTAACTGAGTTTGAGTCTGGGACAACACTTGAAATTTCTTAACTTAGCTTGTGTCTGGAACAATATTTGAAACATCTTAACTGAGTTTTAGTTTGGAACAATACTTGAAATATCTTAACTGAGTTTGAGTCTGGGACAAAACTTGAAATATCTTAACTAAGCTTGAGTCTGGAACAATACTTGAAATATTTTAACTGAGTTTGAGTCTGGAACAACAATTGAAATTACTTAACTTAGCTTGTGTCTGGAACAACACTTGAAATATCTTTACTTAATTTGAGTCTTAACTTAGTTTAAGTCTGGAATAATAATTGAAAAATCTAAACTTAGTTTGAGCCTGGAACAACACTTGAAATATCTTAACTAAGTTTGAGTCTTGAAGAATACTTGAAACATCTTAACTGAGTTTGAGTCTGGGACAACACTTGAAATATCTTAACTAAGCTTGAGTCTTGAACAATATTTGAAATATTTTAATTGAGTTTGAGTCTGGAACAACTTTAGAAATATCTAAGTCTGAGTCTTGAAGAATGCTTGTAACATCTTAACTTAGTTTGAGTCTTGAAGAATACTTGAAATATCATGACTTTACTAAGTTTGAGTTTGGAACAATAATTTAAATATCTTAGTTTGAGTCCGGAACCATACTTGGAAAATCTTAACTTAGTTTGAGTCTTGAAGAATACTTGAAACATCTTAACTTAGTTTGAGTTTAGAAGAATACTTGGAATATCTTAACTTAGTTTGAGTCTGGAAAAAAATTCAAAACTTAGTTTAAGTCTGGGATAATACTTAAAACAGCTTTACTTAGTTTGGGTCTGGAACAATACTTGAAATATCTTACCCTAGTTTGAGTCTGGAACAACACTTGAAATATCTTAACTTAGTTTGAGTCAGGAAAAAACACTTGAAATATTTTAACTTAGTTTGAGTCTGGAACCACACTTGAAATATCTTAACTTGGTTTAAGTCTTGAATAATACTTGAAACATCTTAACTTAGTTTGAGTCTTTGTGAATACTTGAAATATCATAACTTTACTTAGTTCGATTTTTGAACAATAATTTATATATCTTAGTTTGAGTCTGGAACAATACTTGAAATATCTTTACTTAGTTTGAGTCTTGAAGAAAAGTTGAAATATCACAGCTTAGTTTGAGTCTGGAACAATAATAATATTGAAATATCATAACTTAGTTTGAGTCTTGAACAATTCTTGAAATATCTTTACTTAGTTTGAGTCTTGAAGAATAGTTGAAATATCATAACTTAGTTTGAGTCTGGAACAATACTTGAAACATCTAAACTTAGTTTGAGTCTTGAATACTTGCATTTACTAATGGAGTGCAAGAAAGATATGGTTTACATGTACTTTAAACATGCTATGCTAAAATCATAATTCATAAGAGCTTTCCCCGCCATAGGTAGCACCTAACTTCATATAAAATATTGTATCATGCAACAGTTTTGTCTTTTATGCAGTTGATTGATATCATTGATTTTGTAAACAAAAAAAAATACATGTATTTTTGTATGCAAATTATTTTGAAAAACGATGAAATAGTACTGGAATTAAAAAGGATTTTTCTGAACGTGTTAAGTTATCTTTCCTCAATCTTTATTAATAAGATATTATATGATATAATATTTGTCAGATAGAGTAACCTCCCCCGAAAAATACAAATTGTGTTAGGGGCCGGTAAACACACTTATCCTTTATTATTAAATCTATCTGATAGTGTACCCTCCACTGACAATTGCAAATGGAGTGAGAAA